AGGAGACTCGCTTGAGCCCAGGAGTTGGAGGTTGCTGGGAGCTGTGATGCCATGGCACTCTACCCAGGGGGACAGCTTGAGGCTCTGTCTCAAAAAAAAAGAAAAAGAAAACAGGGTAGGAGTTAAAACTTGCCTAAGACAGAGAGCTCAAGAGCTCTTAGAAATCACCTTGAAGCAGGGTGGATGTGGGTTGGGACAGCAACTCTGGGCACTCACCATTCCAAGGTGGAGGCTTCCAGTGAGCGGTTTCCTTAGATGGGTACATGACAGCTCCTCCAAACTGTTGTGCGTATTCCACATCCGGCTGCCACTGTCGAGCACCTCTGGGGAGTTAAAGACAGATCCTAGACCAAGGCCCGAACAGTGCTTGGTTCCTCTGTTGCCATTCACTCTCATGTGGGCCCAGAGAAAGAGATCCTAGATTCTTCAATGCCAAGTCACTGGCACAGAATTTGTGTAGTTTTGGTAAAATAAACTGGAACTCTGTAAGTTCCATTCCTACTAAGGACTTATTTCTCCAGTCGCTTCATCCATCACCCTTATGCATGCAAGGCTGGAGATCCTTGCTCCTTCATATTTTCATCATATTCGTGTTTCAAGTAAATATGAACCCTGAGACAAGTATTTAATCAAGGTCAACCTAAGACTAAGAAGTGAGAGACAGAGACAAACAGAAACAGACAGGGAGAGAAATGGTATTCTGGTGCCTTGGCCAAACTCTTGCTCAGGTAATATGGCAGAGGTGCATTAAAATCCCTAAAGTTGAGGGGCAGGGTCTCCTACTTCGCTGATTTCACCTCTGGCAGAAAGAGCACCTCTTTCCTTCCACGGCCAGAGTGGGCGCCACTGCATCCTGGAGCCCGAGAAATCGGGCCTGAGCAAGGGGGGTCACAGGCCTGGGTCATTCTTTCCAGGGGGGTGGGGGGTTACAGGGTCCATGGACTGTCCCCAAACTTGAGAAACACTAGCTTTGAGGAAAGCGCGTCGAGAGGTGCCCTCGATCTCACCTGCTGGGCTGAATCTGCAGTCGAAACTCAGCCCTGGGCAGTAGCACCTGGGTCGCTACGCCCCGGAGCCTGCACAGGGCGCTCAGCGCCGCCATCTTACCCCGGCTGCAGACTGCGGGAAGGAGAACCGGGCGGAAATGACTCCTGTGCGCCTCCGTGTGGGCTTCTCGCCTATTAACACAACGCAAACGCCCTCTTGGAAGCTGGCGAGGTTATCAAACGTGAGCCTGGCAACATCCGGGTTCTCTGCCTTGCCTTCACTTGCACTTAGATAACCGTGAATACTGTCAGGTTTTCTGACGGCGGCTCCTCCTACTGCTCCTGGCGGTATTTTCTGGGAGTGAGCAAGGACAGTTGTTGCCACACCACTCCTGCCAGGGGCAACAACGTACTTCTATGCGCTCTTTCGCTGAGCCTGCCTGGGTGTACCTTGGAAACTCGCGCGGGGGTTCCTTCCCTACCCATTTCCGCCTTGGCTGCACTCCGATTGTATCTGAGCTCAGCCCTTCTGGAGGAGCCCCGGGCTTCGCTAATTACCTTCCCTTCGCTGAATCCAAAAGATTTGGAGCCGGGAAAGCCAGCTAATTTCCAGATGTCCTGAATTGGGATAGGAAAAAGGAGCCCAAAGGAGGCTGGGAGGGTCTGAGAGTTCCCGCCAAACCAAAAAAAAAAAAAAAAGAGTAGGACGCCAAGGCCACCAGCATTGGTGGTGAAGAGGAAGTTGCCAGAGTCTGTAGGAGCCACCTCATCCCAGATGGGGGAGGAGAGGCCTTCTGTGGGTGACCCTGATATCCGTTAGGCTTCCTGGACCTACCAAATCACAGACCCGGGAAGAGCCCTTGGAGATGCCTCACATCCCACTTCCGTTCTGCGTCAATCTCTTATTGCTTGTATCTTTCTGACCCTGCTACCACAGCGGTCATCATAGTAGCCAGCAGCATGGAAATGTAGTAGCACCAGGAGTTGGATCCCAATTCTGTATGGACAAAGAGTTTTCTAGTCTGGGAGGCTAGTTCCTGTTCTCTCCCTCTGCCTTCAAGCACAGCTCCAGCTGGGCCACTCACCCGTAGAATTTGTACAACTCTCTCCCTTGAGCCTGGAAAGAAGCCTTTCCCAGATCTCCCCTAGATAGGGTCCTTGGGATGCAGCCCACCAGCAGTGCAGCAAGGCTGAGCAGACAGACCATGGGAATGGTAGAGACAGGGAATTCTTAGCTATAGAGAAAGAGGGGAAAGCCAGACTTCTAGCCTGGGAATTGACCTAATGGGAACAGTACCAAAGGGTGGGGCCAGAACCCTGGCTGTGGGAACTGACCAGGACTTGGGGTAGACTAGGCAAGCCCGACAAAGCCAGGCTAGAGGTTTGGTCCCCCTACCCTCCTCATTCTCCATTTTTTCCCTGGGCCTTCTCTCTTATATTTTTTAAAGATTTATTAGATACATAAATTACACATTATTCTTTATACATTATATATGTAAAAGAAAATAGACATCTTAGCTTCTTCAACAATCCTATGCCATGTTATTTTAGCACATTCTTCTTGTATAGTTGAAACACCACAAATGTAGTGATGGTGATGGGGGGTGGCAAGGACTGCATTTATTTGCTTTGATCAGCCTGGGAAAAGTCAGTATAGACTGGGCTGCTTGGCCCTGGAGGCAGCTTGAGCTGGGACTAGGGTGGGGGCTCCTGGGGAGCTGCCTAGGACACTGCTGCTTTTGTGCCTTCTCCCTGCTGCCAACACCCCCCACACACACTGCTGCTGCCACTCTAAAGCCCTTTGTCTTTCACTGCTTAGTCACCCCCTTTGTCCTCATCTCAGATGGGGGAGTGGGAAGGGGCAGTAGAGTCCTCTGGTGATAGCTCCTCTTGCCCCTGTCCCTTCTGGTCTTCCATCCCTTGTCTAAACTCTTCTAGCCCCAGCCCCCTCCACTTAGGACCAGGGTATGTGGGGTGTCAAGAAGTAGGTCTGGCAGTGACAAGGGGTGGCTGATATAGAAAGTGATGGGCACCAGAGCAGGTGTTAGTGACCTGAGCAGGAAGGGAGGGGAAGAGGAAGTATTCTGGCAAAGGATATGATGTGGGGGACAGGAGGTGACAAAGCAGAGAGTGAATAGAGGAATGGGGGCAGGAGGAGGTGGTCTACCTCTGGGAAAGGGAAGAGACTGCTGACTGTACTCTCCTTCCTGGGGATTTCCTGGGGAAAGGAGTGGCTGTGGGATGGGGTGAACAGAAATTGCCCCTATTTCTGAACCTTTTACTTCCTTGCCTTGAGTGTCCACCCCTAAGACCTCTTTTCTAAGTTTCCTCCAATCTAGAACCAAAGGAATCATTTCCTTCCTTTCCTTAATGTACCTTTTTCCCCACAGCCATTATCCCCACCCTAAGCTCTGGGTTCCTGTTTCTCTCAGCACCCTAATTTCCCTATATGCACAATGCTGCCTCCACCCTCTCCCTGTCCCATGGAGAATGAGAAATAAGATTACTAGATATTCCAGAACAGTTGTGTTCTCAGGGCAAAGAGGGGCCAGAGGAGGGTGCCAGATAGGGATTCACCCAGACTGACACCAGGTAAATCTGGGCTCCTGAGAGAGCAAGTCTTGCCTGTGCTGGGGGTTGGTTGACTTGAAGCTGAGGGGAGGATTTAGGGTAGTTGGGAGTGGGTAGGAGCAGGGCCAGGAGCCTGGGGGAAGCTACTGGGAGCTGGGCCAGGGAAATGGGGAGTCAGGAAGTGAGGAGGGGGAACCCTGGGGGAAAATGGAGGCAGAATGGCTGTTCCAGGCTTTGGAGGGGGTGAGTAGTGGTAACTCAGGAAGGGGGAGCCTGAGGGAGAGAAGGGACCTTCGAGAAGAGGAGGTGCCACCCTGGATCCTCCGTCTATAAAAGGAAAAGTCATTAACCCCTCCTGCCTTGTTGTCTGCCTCCTCTGTGTGTTCATTCTAAGCAGACTCATCCTACCATTGGGCCGTAAATTCCCAGATCATTGCTTCCTTGCCTCCCCCACCTCTCTGACTCCTCTGTTCTCTCCAGCTGCTTGGTTCCATCCTAAGCCATATTAATCTACCTCCTTTCTTTGTTCTTCCCTCTTGATGTTTCTTTACCTGTTCCCTACCACTTTCCCCAGCAGCTCACTTAGTCCCCTCAGCCCTGGAAACCAGACTTTAGGGCCAAAGGGCAGCACAAGAGAGACTTGAGAAAAGAGAAGCCATGCCAGTTTAGACTGTAAGAGCAAGAATTCTCCTAGGACCATGATCCTATCTGTGCGTGTTAGCCAGGCCCTTTCCCTGACTCCCTGACTCTCTCTCCTGGGGCTTTGTCCCACCAAAAAGGGAAAGAGACAGCTGAGGGCTGATTGTGGGGTTTGGGAAAAGGCTATGTCATCAGCTGGCCGAGTGCCTATAATCCATCCGGCTGCTAGAGATTCTCCTCCCCTGGGCAAGTCCCACTTTTTTTTTTTTTTTTAAAGGAAAACAAAAACTAGGATTTTGGGAAGCAATGATACACCCCTCTGAGTCCTACCGACAGAACTCTGGCTGAGTGGCTTAGAGATTAGCCAATCGCAGGGCTCAGGATGCTTAAAAGAGCCGGTGCTGAGAGAGGCTGGGGAGAACCCACAGGGACACCCATAGACACATAGACACGAGAGAGACAGAGGAGGGAAGAGACAGAGACAAAGGCATAATAGAAGAAGGCAGAGACAGGGCAGGCAAAGAAGCAGCCCAGACAGAGTTATACAGAGGGAGAGGCCAGAGAAGCTGCGGAAGGTACAAACAGGGAGAGACAAAGATCCAGGAGAGAAGGGCGCAGGAGAAGAATTTTGAGGAGCCAGACCCTTGGACACCTCTCCTAAGCCTGAGGGCTAAGTTTTTTCCATCTCCTCTGAAGGTCCCCAGCCCCTCTGAAAACTCTGCTCTGACCTTGGCAGGAGTCCGAGCCCCCAGGCTACAGAGAGGAACTTTCCAAAGCTAGGGTGTGGAGGACTTCGTGCCCCAGATGGCCTCAGTCCCTTCCAGCTACAGCACCAGTGCCATGTCCCGGACAGGCTTGCATCGCAGGAGGGGCTTGGCAGGGCGCTGGCTGTGGGGAATCCACCCCCGCCTACTGCTCCCCGTTGTGCCCTTCTCCAGGCTGCTTCTGCTGCTGCTGGCCTCCCTCCTGCCCTCAGCCCAGCCGGCCAGCCCCTTCCCTCGGGAGGAGGAGATCGTGTTTCCAGAGAAGCTTAACAGCAGCATCCTGCCTGGCTCGGGCGCCCCTGCCAGGCTGTTGTACCGCTTACCGGCCTTTGGGGAGACGCTGCTACTAGAGTTGGAGCAGGACCCTGGTGTGCAGGTGGAGGGGCTGACAGTGCAGTACCTGGGCCAGACACCTGAGCTACTAGGTGGGGCAGAGCCAGGCACCTACCTGACCGGCACCATCAATGGAGATCCGGAGTCGGTGGCATCTCTGCACTGGGATGGGGGAGCCCTGCTAGGGGTCCTGCAGTATCGAGGGGCCGAACTCCATCTCCAGCCCCTGGAGGGGGGCACCCCTAACTCTGCAGGGGGACCTGGGGCTCACATCCTACGCCGGAAGAGTCCTGCCAGCAGCCAGGGTCCCATGTGCAACGTCAAGGCTCCTGCTGGGAGCCCCAGCCCCAGCCCCCGAAGAGCCAAGGTAGGCAGCTCCTGAGTCTGTGTCCTGCAGCGTCCTCCCGCCATGTCTGTCCTACTGACCCCTATTCACCCTCTCTCCACCCACTTCCACTTCTGGCCATCCTGCTTCCCTCCCTTTTGCCTGCTTTCCTCTCTCCACTAGCCTCCTTCCTTGGGAAGGCTCTGGTCTCTCCTTGCCCCTGCCCTTCTCCCAGCCAGACCACTGATCTACACTGAGGCTTCTCAGAGGTGGGTCAGAGACTTCAGGCTGGGAATGACTGCTCCCCATCCCCACCCACCCCTGTCTGGCCATGGCATCCTCTGCTGGCACAATCCCCAGCAATAAAGATCTAACAGCCCCTTCGCTTTGGCTCTTTTCTCTGCCACAAATTTCATTTTCACTCCCACCCCCAGCTAAAGGAGTAAGGTTCAAGGCCCAAAGGATTGGCCTCTGGCTTCTGATGATGCCTTTAAAATTGTGCTGGCAAACTGCAAACTAGGGCAGAAGTGGGAAAGGGAGGGAAGGCGTCCCATACCTCCTCCTGGTCAATCCCCTTCCCACACTGTGGACTGACTGCACACGGCTGCCTGAGGCTCCATCCTTCCCTCCCTCCCACTCTGGGTCTCCCCCCTTCTTCCCTTCCTTCCTCCCTCCTCCCTCTGGAGCTTTAATCCAGACCAGACGCTCCCCTCCACACCCGCCACGCTGAGCTCTGGCCCTGGCCCTAGCTGCTGACTGAATCGTTCCTCCAACCACACAGGGCAGACACGTAGCAGCTCAGCCCTCCATCCCAACTCCCACAGGCCCTGGCCACACTCAGGCCTGGGGAACCCCAAAGTCCTTCGCAAAGGCAGTCCTGCTGCTTTCACCCATGCAGGCCTGGGACATGGAATCCCTTTCTCCTCCCCTTCTCAGAACCAATGCTGATTCCTCAGAATTATGACAGAAGCCCTGAGATTTGGGATTGGAGGGAGGGCCAACCAAAACCTGTCAGGAGTCCCATGGGCTATGTGGGGCCCAGCTGGCTCTGCTGAGTTCCAGATCCAGGAGGTGAGGGAGGGGAGAAGAGATCCACGGGTCTGGGAGTCTATTTCAGGATCCTCCTCTCCTTTTTTCTCTACAGCGCTTTGCTTCACTGAGTAGATTTGTGGAGACCCTGGTGGTGGCAGATGACAAGATGGCAGCATTTCATGGAGCGGGGCTAAAGCGCTACTTGCTGACAGTTATGGCAGCAGCAGCCAAGGCCTTCAAGCATCCAAGCATCCGCAACCCTGTCAGCTTGGTGGTGACTCGGCTAGTAATCTTGGGGTCAGGCGAGGAGGGGCCCCAAGTGGGGCCCAGTGCCGCCCAGACCCTGCGCAGCTTCTGTGCCTGGCAGCGGGGCCTCAACACCCCTGAGGACTCGGACCCTGACCACTTTGACACAGCCATTCTGTTTACCCGTCAGGTGAGGACCCAGTGAACACTGAAGGCCATGCCCTTGCATAGTTCTGAGAAGAACCACTACGTAGATATTGTGGTGTAAATGGTGCTCCTGGGATTGTGTGACATGGTGCCTGGCCGTAGCCACACTGCCTTCCATGGCTGTCTGGGTCCTGACAGTGCTGAGTACTTAGTGTCCAGGTCTCTGGTAATCTGGACCCCATCCCAATGTAACCAGGTGTCTTGGCTCCTCATGCATCATCTATGATCTGTCTCCACAGGACCTGTGTGGGGTCTCCACTTGTGACACCCTGGGGATGGCTGATGTGGGCACTGTGTGTGACCCAGCTCGAAGCTGCGCCATTGTGGAGGATGATGGGCTCCAATCAGCCTTCACTGCTGCTCATGAACTGGGTACGATGGGGGTGGGGCTGTGGAGTACCAGGGTGGATGAGAAAGGGATCAGGGGTGAGGGGAGGAGATAGTGAGTTCACCTGGGTCTTAATGGGAGTCCCAAGGTGTTTATTCCTTTTCCCCAGGCCTGGGTACAGAACTGACCATTATCCTTCTCTGTTCTGGATGTAGACAAACATTTAGATTTTCCTATTAAATACTGTAGGCTGTAGAAACATACTGTGAATGTGTGCGCACACCCACATGTGTGTTTGGGGCAGGGAGTCAGTGAAAGAATGTGTGCTTTCAGTGTTAGGGCCCTGAGTATATTTTGGGAGAAGAGGGGAAGATAACAGAGCAATGGGAGCTACATAGTGGGAGCCCTGAGAGCACCATTAAGGGACCACAGACAGGGTGGGACAGAGAATAGAGCTGACCAGCCACAGGTGCAACTAGGTTTATGAGCTCCTTGAAGGCACAGGGATGGGACCACTGGACTCTAGCAGGGTATCTCCTCCCTCAGGCCACGTCTTCAACATGCTCCATGACAACTCCAAGCCATGTGTCAGTTTGAATGGGCCTGGGAGCACCTCCCGCCATGTCATGGCTCCTGTAATGGCTCATGTGGATCCTGAGGAGCCCTGGTCACCCTGTAGTGCCCGCTTCATCACTGACTTTCTGGACAATGGCTATGGTAAGTAGGTGGGACTCACCTTTCCTGTGTGGGACTCCCTCCCTGCCCCCACGCTGCTCTCACTCTTGCTGCATTCTACATGAACAGGTAGCTCCCCCCAGGTGTACTTCCTCTGCAGTAAGCGATGGCCTGAGAAATGCTGCGGTCCCTGTGTGGTCCCCATTTCCTTCCATAATAAGTAACAGAGCTAGGGGAGGCAAATGTTGGTTCAATAGAACTGACCTCCTAAGGGCCAGAACTATCTACTAGAATGGGCTGGCTGTGAGAGAAGTGACTACTTTGTCACGATAAGGTGAGCAAGAATAGCAGGATGAGGGGTGGTACTCATAGCTCAGCCACATGCACCAGGTCTGGTGGGTTCAAATGCAGGCCGGGCCTGCTACAACAAAAAAATAGCTGGGCATTGTGGCAGGCGCCTGTAGTCCCAGCTCTCTCCCACAGCTACTTGGGAGGCTGTGGCAGGAGATTCACTTGAGCCTAGGAGTTTGAGGTTGCTGTGAGCTGTGATGCCATGGCACTCTACCAAGGGTGACATAGTGAGACTGTCTCAATTAAAAAAAAAAATAGCAGGATGACTTCCACTGGACAGAGATATTGATGAGTCATAGATTTGAGCATTCTGTAGAATAGAATTAGAATAGGCAGGAGGACATTGTGCTCTGGTTCCTATCCTGATTCTGTCCTTCAGGTGTTTAGAGGTGTGTAAGTTACTTCCCCTAACTGTGTTTGTAGCTGATATATCAAATAGGTATAAAATGGTAATCACCTCAGAGGTGATTAAATGAGATGTGCTGGTCAAGCATTTAGCCAATGCTCATCACAGAATAACCATCTAGTAAACTGTAACTGCCATGTAAAGCCTCTTAGAGCCCTGGGATTTTCCAGGATCCATCAGGTCCTAGGGAGCCTGAGCTTCCAGCTGGCAGTCCCGAGTGCTCTTCTCAGCCCGTTCCTCACTTTATGCCCCAATCTCCATTCCAGGGCACTGTCTCTTAGACAAGCCAGAGGCTCCCCTGCTTCTGCCTGTGACTTTCCCTGGCAAGGACTATGATGCTGACCGCCAGTGCCAGCTGACCTTTGGGCCCGACTCACACCATTGTCCACAGCTGCCACCGCCCTGTGCTGCCCTCTGGTGTTCTGGCCATCTCAACGGCCATGCCATGTGCCAGACCAAGCACTCACCATGGGCCGATGGCACGCCCTGCGGACCCACACAGGCCTGCATGGGTGGCCGCTGCCTCCACGTGGACCAGCTCCAGGACTTCAATGTGAGATCTCAGGGCAGGGGTGGGGGCCTAAGGTGCTGAAATTGGTCATGAGCCCTGCAGGGGGTCCACTCATCCACTCTTTCATTCTGTGCCTCTGCAGATTCCACAGGCCGGTGGCTGGGGTCCTTGGGGACCCTGGGGCGACTGCTCTCGGACCTGTGGGGGTGGTGTCCAGTTCTCCTCCCGGGACTGCACCAGGCCCATCCCCCGAAATGGCGGCAAGTACTGTGAGGGCCGCCGTACCCGCTTCCGCTCCTGCAACGCCGAGGGTTGCCCGACTGGCTCAGGTGAGGGGAGAACAGGCCCTCAGGAGGAGGTAGCAGAGCAGAAAGGACTTTCCCTTGAGTGCCGGGACCAAGAAGGCATTGATTGCCCCGGCTGCTGGGGGGAGAGACTCTACCCCTGGAAACCGTTTTTGGCAATCTGTTGGGGAGAGCAGCTCCATGCCATTTAAAGTCCTGGGTGGGGGCTCAGCACCTGTGGCTCAAGCGGCTAAGGCGTCAGCCACATACACCCAAGGTGGCGGGTTCGAATCCCCAGCCCAGGCCCTCCAAACAACATGGCTGCAACTAAAAAATGGCCGGGCGTTGTGGCGGGCGCCTGTGGTCCCAGCTACTTGGGAGGCTGAGTCAGGAGACTCGCTTGAGCCCAGGAGTTGGAGGTTGCTATGAGCTGTGATGCCGTGGCACTCTACCCAGGGGGATAGCTTGAGGCTCTGTCTCAAAAATAAATAAATAAATAAAGTCCTGGGTGGGTGGGTGGGGGCGCTAGTGGAAGGGTTTGTGGGCAATGAGAAGAGAGAGGGGTGCTGACTGTCCATGTTGCCCCTACAGCGCTGACCTTCCGTGAGGAGCAGTGCGCTGCCTACAACCACCGCACTGACCTCTTCAAAAGCTTCCCAGGGCCCATGGACTGGGTCCCTCGCTATACAGGTGTGGCCCCCCGAGACCAGTGCAAACTTACCTGCCAGGCCCGGGCACTAGGCTACTACTATGTGCTGGAACCACGGGTAAGGGCCAGGACACCCCAAGCCTTGTCTATGCTCACACGTTCCCCCACAGTCCCTCTGCTTTCTGATGGCAAAGGTCCTCCCAAATAGCACCATTGCTGTCATTTCCACAGCCATGCCAGACCAGCCCAGGGGACCGCTCAGACTTATCCAACCATGGGTATTGAGTAAATAAGCTCCAGACTCTAGAAAAGTGGCCAAGAGGCTACTCTAACCTTCCCTCCACTTCTTTTCCTTCCCCTCCTAATCTTCGAGTGCTGCCTTTGGTGAGAAGTGTGTGGCCTTTGAGGCTCATCCTTGGACCTCCCTTTTCCATGGGCTCCTCTGTCAAATTACAGCAGTGGCCTCATTTGGCCCCATGGGACAACCAGTCGCTCAAAGGACAGGAGATAAATAATGTCCCCACACACCCTCTGTGTGATAGTGTAGTGGGTTAAAGGCGAAGAAATGAAAAAACAAGCCCTACCAGAAGTTTGCTCCCTTCGCCCCTAATCTGGGAAGATTTCCTGCAGGTTGGCTGCCCTCTAGCGTCCATACAGGGACAGTATCATCAGGGTTTAGGGCTTTGTGCTGGGACTCAGACAGACCTGTATTTCCCACCTTGGCTCTTCTGCTTGCCATCTGCGTAATCCTTAGGGCAAGTTCCTTAATTTGTCTAAATCTTGGTGTTCCATCCCTAGAAACCTCAAATAGTGGTTGTGAGATTTACGTTCATGTTTTTAAAGCTCTTGGTGTACTACTGGATTCATAGTCAGTGCTCTGAAAATGGTGGCTTTTATAACTATTGTTGTCATCCTGATTATCACCCCACACGGGGGCCAGTGCTTACTCTGCACCTCATCTCTACATCCCCCACCTCCCCCAGCTTTCTTGACATCCTTTTTCTAGTGGGACACGAGTCTTGTTTAGCTTACCAAGCCCTCTTAGGAGAACACTTTGCATCATTCCTTCTCTTCTCCTCAGGTGGTGGATGGGACCCCCTGTTCCCCAGACAGCTCCTCTGTCTGTGTCCAGGGCCGCTGCATCCATGCTGGCTGTGACCGGATTATTGGCTCCAAAAAGAAGTTTGACAAGTGCATGGTGTGTGGTGGTGATGGTTCTGGCTGCAGCAAGCAGTCAGGCTCCTTCAGAAAATTCAGGTTCTTTCACCTTTTATTTCCTCTTTCTCCCTTCCCAGACACTATTCTGCGTCCCAGGGATATAGAGGTGCACTCAGTACTGTTTCCACTCTCAAAGAACTTACAGTGTAGTGGGGAGATAGAGGAGTAGACAGTTACAGCAGTATCCCCCATGTTCAACAGGGGCCCACCCAAAGTGCTGTGCTGGTGGGCATCAGGGAAGACTTCCTGGGGGTGATCTCTGAACTGAGTCTTGGAGGGAGAATAGGAATTGGGTAGGTGTGGCACCATGGAGGTGGGGCTTAGAAGGGCACATCAGTAAGGGGGCAGCAGGTGTAAATTTTTTGAGAGAAAAGAGCATGTAGCTCTGATATAGACTGAACAGCTCACAGAGGTTTGGGGAGACAACCCTCCTCGCACGCATGTGCAAACACAGCTTAGAAGGCTGAGGGCATTCAGGAGATGCTGAGCTCCCCTCTGTTCCTTCCGCACAGATACGGATACAACAATGTGGTCACTATCCCTGCCGGGGCCACCCACATTCTTATCCGGCAACAGGGAGCCCCTGGCGTCCGGAGTATCTACCTGGCTCTGAAACTCCCAGATGGCTCCTACGCCCTCAATGGTGAATACACACTGATGCCCTCTCCCACAGACGTGGTCCTGCCTGGGGCAGTCAGCTTGCGCTACAGCGGGGCCACTGCGGCCTCGGAGACACTGTCAGGCCATGGGCCACTAGCCCAGCCTTTGACGCTGCAAGTTCTGGTGGCTGGCAACCCCCAGAATGCACGCCTCCGATACAGCTTCTTCGTGCCCCGGCCAGCCCCGCCAACACCACGCCCCACTCCCCAAGACTGGCTGCACCGCAGAGCACAGATTCTGGAGATTCTTAGGCGGCGGCGCCCCTGGGCGGGCAGAAAATAACCTTACCATCCCGGCTGCCCTTTCTGGGCACCCGGGCCTCGGACTTAGCTGGCAGAAATAGGGAGCTTCTGTAGCTGCCTTATGCTAAGACACAGTGGAGAGGGGTTGTGGGCGTGGTCCCTGCCCCTCCTCTCTGCCCTACTGCGCAGGCTGGCCCTGCCCCAGTTTCCTGCCCTGGGAGGCAGCGATGGGTTGGTGGATGGCAGGGCTGAAAGACAGTCTCCTATCTAAACTGCCCCCTCTGCCCTGCGGGTCACAGGAGGGAGGGGGGAAGGCAGAGTGGGCCCAGACCCCAGTTGTATTTATTTAGTATTTATTCACTTTTATTTAGCACCAGGGAAGGAGACAAGGATTAGGGTCCTGGGAAACATGACCCCAGCCCCTCATAGTCCTCACCCTGGCAAGAAATCCAGGATGGTGGTAGTAGGCGTAGGTGATCTGTGTGTGTTTGTGTGTAAGAAGATGTGTGTGTACACTTATGTATGAGGTACAACTTGCCCTGCGCTCCACTTCCTGAATTTTGGGGGGTGAGGGGAGTCAAGGGTAGGATGGGCCTTCAGGGAGTATCATATTTTTTAAATATAAACTGAATTCTGCTATTTATGTGCTCCTTTTGGAGTCAGACAGATGTGGGTTACATGCTGGCCCCATATCTCCGAACATTAGTTTTCCCGTTTGCCAGTAATAATACCTCCCTTAGAAGTTTGTTGTGAGAACTAAGTAATGTAAATAAAGAACTAGCATAATGCCTGCACTTAGGGAGTGCTCAGCAAATGGCAGCTGCTGTTACTTATTGTTACTGCTTTTCTGTCGTCCTAGACCCTCCTTAGGGTCTGTAATCACTTGTAAGTGACAAAGATGCACATTAATTGTGCCAGCCCTCAACCTGGATTCCACTCCCTTAGTTGGCAGAACCCTATCCTGGATTCTAAAGGAATATCAGAGAAAGAATGATTCTGTCCTTCACCTTTGGTGGCTCCTAATCACATGAAAGAGACATGATAAATGCTTGGTGCTAGACATGGTGGCACGCATCTGTAGTTCTAGTTGCTTGGGAGGCTAAGGCAGAATGATAGCTTGTACTTGAGTTCAAGGTTTCTTTCCCGGTTTTTTGTTTGTTTGTTTGTTTTCCTTCTTCTTTTTGGTTTTCTTCCATTGAGACAGAGTCTTGCTTTGTCACCCTTGGTAGAGTGCCATGGTATCATAGCTTATAGCAACCTCAAACTCTTGGGTTCAAGTGATCTTCTTGCCTCAGCCTCCGAAGTAGCTGAGGACTACATGCATGCACCACAATGCCTGACTTTTTTAGAGACAGTGTCTTGCTCTTGCTCAGGTTGGTCTCAAACTTCTCAGCTCAGATGATCCACTGGGGCAGCACCAGTGGCTCAAAAGGGTAGGGCGCCGGTCCCATATGCCGGAAGTGGTGGGTTCAAACCCAGCCCTGGCCAAAAAAAAAAAACAGATGATCCACTCACTTCAGCCTCCCAGAGTGCCAGGATTACAGGCATGAGCCATTGTGCCTGGCTAGGAGTTCAAGGTTTCAATGAGCTGTGACTGTCCCTGTGAAACCACTGCATTCCAGTGGTTTCCAGTGACACCGTGAAACCCAATCTCTAAAATAAATAAATAAACAAACACTTAGGCTCAGCACCTCTAGTACAGTGGTTACACCACCAGCCACATGCACTGAGGCTGGTTGGTTCAAGCCTGGCCTGGGCCAGCTAAATAATGACAACTGCAACAAAAAATAGCCGGGTACTGTGGCTGGCACCTATAGTCCCAGCTACTTGGGAGGCTGAGGCAAGAGAATCACTTAAGCCCAGTAGTTTGAGGTTGCTGTGAGCTGTGACACCACAGCACTCCACTGAGGGCAACATAGTGAGACTCTGTCTCAAAAATAAATAAATAAATAATAAAAAACCCCGAACACTTGGCTACAAGTACAACTGATAAGAAAATGAAGGTGCAAAAATAACGAGAACAACTACATCAATGTAAACACAAACTTAGTAGTTAGAGTGATAGTTGAGGAGTTTAGGGGAACTGTTAGCACTGGAGTGGTAGCAAATGGTCTGAATGTGAATTGGGGTTCAGCACCTCCCTAGCTGGGTGGCATTGGTTAAGCCACTGGTGCTAAGTCTTAGATTGCTCATATGTGGAGTGGAGCTAATGATTCTGGTTCCCACAGACCACCCAGAACATTTGGGAACAAATGTTAAACTATTTTCATAATAGTAAAGGTTATCGGCATGTCAGACCTTACCCTTATGACTGAGTGACTGGGATGCTGATCTCTGAATCAACCATTAATTTCATAAAACGATCAAGTTATGGTTTACTAGGAATTAGGCAGAAGGGCAAAAAGAATGACCTGGAGAAGGACCTGAGAAAAGGAGGTGGTCAGTGGTGGCAGAATAGTTGAGAAATAGGGTATCAGAGATAGCTCTGCCCGATGAAGTGGCTGTGCCTGTAGTCCCAGCTACTTGGGAGACTGAGACAAGAAGATCTCTTGAGATCAAGTGTTCTGGGCTATAGTGTGCTATAATGATCGGGTGTCCACACTAAGTTCGGCATCAATATGGTGACCTCCTGAAAGCCAGAGGCCACTAGGTTGCCTAAGGAGGGGTGAACCGGCCCAAGTTGGAAACAGAGCAGGTCGAAACTCCTGTGATGATCAGTAGTGGAATTGTGCCTGTGAACAGCCACTGTACTCCAGCCTGGGCAACATAGTGAGACCCCCATCTCTAAAAAAAAGAAAAAATAGAGACAGCTCTGTTCTTCCTTCTGAGCAAGGCCATTTTGCTTGAGAATGAACTTGGGCAGTCCCATGTGTCATGGATGGAACAGGGAGGGAAGGGGGCCCTGGCAAGAATCTGGAGTTTTGAATGGCAGAAGCAAGTCTTCTAGGGATTGGGGAAGGAGCAAGATAAGGGGGTGAGTGAGGAACACTAAGTAAAGAAGACCGTGATATAAGGGGTACAGAAGGTAGAATGGCGAGCCAAAGGCACTTGACTTTGCTGTAGCAGTCCTGAGCTGGGCCGCTGGACATTGCTTGGGATACAGAGCAGAGATTATGAAGTGGAGGCAGGCCATGGGGGGGTTGTGGTGGTTACATGTTCTGTGCTCACTGGAGCTGGGCTTTGCTAATCAAGTTCTGTACTAGGCAGTGCCTTACACAGCACTCTCTGTTTTACACCACCCAGCACAGTGCCTGCTCCCTCTGCAGCGATGAGAAGAGGGCCACCCACATGCCCTTCTCTCTGGTAAATGTGGCTCCCACTACTGTGCCTGGCCCTCTGGCCCTCCTACCAACCAGGCCAGAGGTGGTAGAAACAGGAGAATGGGAAAAGGCCAGAGCAATCTTTATTGCTCTTACATAGTTAGCAAAGCTGAACTACCAGTAATAGGCTTCTGCACTTTAATACCATGAGCTCATGGTTCAATGAGCAGAGCTCTGTGTTAAGTAGATGTGAGGTACAAAAACAATATATCACTGTGTCTTAATGGCATTCACATTGCATTCTGGGAAGCAGACCATAATGAACAGTACCAGGAATAGAAAAAAGATAAGAGCCCTGTGAACTGGGCAGAAACTGAGTCCTGACTTAATGGGCTATCAATAGAGTGGTGGAAGGTGAGTCTAGGGCTGGGCTCTGGGTAGCAGATAATCATGATAGCCCTTCCCATCCCACATTTCTATAATGCTCATGGTGATTCACACTTCATAAATCACTTCTACATGTGTTATTTTACTCACTGAGTCCTTCTTACTGGCATAAAGAAGTTTTGGGGGTTTTTTCTGAGACACAGTCTCACTCACAGCAACCTCAAACTCTTGGGCTCAAGCAATGCTCTTGCCTCAGCCTCCCAAGTAACTGGGACCACAGGCCCCTGCCATAACACCTGGCCATTTTTTGGTTGCAGCCATCATTGTTGTTTGGCAGGCCTGAGCTGGATTCGAGCCCACCACCTTAGTTGTATGTAGCTGGTGCCTTAGCCACTTGAGCTACAGGTGCCAAGCCAATAAGTTTTTCTAAGAAGAGGACTAAGCTTAGGTGGTGGGAGCTAGAGTGAGAGGGGCACAGAGAGTGACTCCATAAAGACAAATGATACACGTCGCTGCAGCCCTCAGCTCCAGGCAAGGCCTGGCCCCATTCTGGAATGGACTTCCCCATATCACCTGTCCCAGGCCAAAGTTGTATGTAGACTCTACCTAATATTCTGAAGTCAGGAGTCCAACAAGTTCTTGCTAAGAATTTGAGGGGCATAGTCCTCTGCCTGCCATAGAGCCAAGATGATATTGCCCTCATGGGCCAGACCTGGGGTGTGGACATCCAAGCTAGAGCAGAAACAAGAATAACAAGAAAGAGTCATTAAAACAGTTTAAGTATTTGGTCCTGGCAGTGAAAAGAGGGAATTAAGGGTCATTAAGAGATAAAGTCATTGGCTCGGCGCCTGTGGCTCAAGGGGCTAAGGCGCCAGCCACATACACCTAAGGTGGTGGGTTCGAATCCCCAGCCCGGGCCCACCAAACAACAATGATGGCTGCAACCAAAAAATGGC